TAGAATTTCAGAGGTTCTGTGATGAAATTATTACCATGGGAGGACTCCAGACAAGGCAGCACTAAAAATAGTACAATTCATTTCCTTTTTTCAGACATGGAGAATTGTGTGGTTTGTCCAAAGGATCAGTTTCCAAACCAAGCTCATGATGAATGCATTCCAAAGACACTGAACTTCCTCTCCTTTGATGAACCACTGGGCATTATTCTGGTTTCACTGGCTCTTCTTTTTTCCCTGGTTACAGCTTTGGTGTTTACCATCTTCATTAAGCAACAGGACACTCCCATTGTCAAAGCCAACAATCGCAACCTCACCTACCTTCTCCTTATCTCACTCTTTCTCTGTTTCCTCTGCTCCCTTCTGTTCATTGGGCAGCCCAATAAGGCAACCTGCCTCCTCCGACAAACAGCATTTGGCATCATCTTCTCTGTTGCCATTTCTTCTATTTTGGCCAAAACCATCACAGTTGTTATAGTATTCTTAGCCTCAAAGCCAGGAAATGTATTTCACAAATGGATGGGGCAAAAGTTGGCCTATTCTATTATCTGCTTCTGCTCCTTCTTTCAAGTAGTTATTTGTGCTGTTTGGCTTGGCACTTCTCCTCCGTTTCCAGACTTGGACATGGAGACACTCCTTGGAGAAATCATAGTAGAATGTCATGAAGGCTCCGTCACCATGTTTTACTGTGTCTTAGTCTACATGGGCTTCTTGGCCCTTCTCAGCTTCACTGTGGCCTTCCTAGCCAGGAAGTTGCCAGACAGTTTTAACGAAGCCAAGTTCATCACTTTCAGCATGTTGGTTTTCTGCAGCGTTTGGCTGACCTTTGTGCCCACCTACCTGAGCACCAAGGGGAAGTACATGGTGGCCGTGGAGATCTTTTCTATCCTGTCTTCCAGTGCTGGCTTACTGGGCTGCATCTTCATCCCCAAAATCTATATAATTATATTGAGGCCCCAGCTCAACACTAGAGAGCATTTAATACATAAGAAATAGAAAAAGAAGAAGATCAAATTTTGAAGAAGTGAATACTTATTTGACATTCAAAACCACCTTCATATACATCAATAAAGAAGTAATTTCATGGAGCTGTTCATACATTTCAGTTACACTGAATTTCTGTCCAAATTCCAATAGTACACAAAAGAGTAATCTATTATGAAATAAATTATCTATGTAGCTAATAAAGTATGAACAAATTTGACTGAATTTGTCTTTCACCTTAGATTTCCTCAGAGGGTGGTGCTTTTTGGGCTGAGGGGGCTATATTAATTTTTCAGGCAAGCAATCCACATAATTTAATTAAGTTGTTCTATTTTGGTTTTCAATCTTTTGCAAACCAATTCTAGTGGCAATAGAGAACTGAGTCAATATCAAGATAAACATTAGAAAGACAGACAGTGAACAAACCTCAAGATTCATTGAAGTTTGTTGAATGATTTTCCCACCTCTTAAAAACCATTGACTTTTGCCACCAAAGCTGATATTACAGATAGTACCAAACAATTTACATCACTCTCAACTCAATCCAGAAAACATGCCATCTGTACGGTACCATTTCAGCTATGTTTTTCATAATAATGTTATTAAACTTTTAAGCAAGAAAGATAAAAACTAACATAAAATAATATTTAAGAGTAGGGAAAGAGAAAAAGGAAGGAAGGAAGGAAGGAAGGAAGGAAGGAAGGAAGG